GAGATTATTGGTTTTACAAATTAATCCAAAATAACTCAAATTATTATTATTTTTTTGAATTATCTCCTGTTGTCACTAATTTTTTTTATCATATTATTAAACTAATTAAACTTATTGAATCTAAATAAGTACATGCTTCAAATTTTAAATTTTTTTATTTAAAAAAATATTATTATTTTTTAAATATTTTTTTATTAAAAGAAAATGGTTTAACCCAACTGCGCCAATCCTGTACAATTTGCTTGGTGATACTAGAAGGACCTGAAATAGAAACCTTCGCTTCGATTCACTTCCAGATTTATCTAGATCCACCAAATTTTGATCATTAATCAAATATAAAATCTCTTGTCATTGTATCATTAATTCCCACGTCGCCTTTGCACATGTCTTCTGAGCTTCAACTACCTTAACGCCTTGTATTGAACATGGCCTTGACTGGCTCTGAAAATATTGTGGCTCCCCCTTATTAGCAAGTAACAAGTATCTATAATCTCGAGCGTATTTGTACAAAAAAACATGATTATTAGGTTTATTTAGTTATTAATTTTAAAATTTATAAAATTAATTAAGATATTAACAATCTGGCACAAATATCTATATTAATAATAATAAAAAAAAAATAACAAGTATATATGCTGGTCGTTTTAAGGGAAATCCTGCCTTGGTTCCCTTAGAATTTGTTGACATCATTATTAGTGTCCACTTCTTGCACCATAGTCGGGTCATAAGCCTTGGACTCGTTAATATTATACAATTATAATTATAGCACTATTCATGAGATTGTTTTTTGTTTTTTTTGTATTCAAGGTCCCTTAGCTAGATTTTTAGTTCTTCAAGCTCTGGTCACTGAGTTTTTTTTTTTAAATTTTTTCTTAGAAGTTATGCTGGCATGAATTTATGTTCTGAGAATTGTTTTGGTTTGCATAAATGTTAGAGAATATTTCAACTTTAAATTAAAAATTAATTTTATAAAATTAGAATTTAGGTTATTGTTACAAAATTAAAAGAACAAGGATCAAAATTAACATAGATAAAAAACAAAAAAATTTTCATATGTGCTATTAATAAAAAGCGGAAAAAATTAATATGATCCCTTAATTTTAATTTATACATGTTTGGTCCTTGTTCTTTTAGTTTCAATCCTCAACTTTATTTTTTTTTTCACATTTTGATCTCTAAATATTGAGATAGGAGAGAGAAATTTAATGGAAAATGAAGAAGAAAGAGAAGGGGTTCATCCGATCATATTTTGATAATAAAAATATCTCTAAATATCAATTAATTCATCTTGGAAAGGAAATGTTCAATGGAGTTGGTGTTCCCTTCAAACATGCCAAAAAAAAAAAATCAGATTGAGATCTTTTTATTTTGTTGGATTTTTATTTTTTAACGTGATTAGAGAATGCTTTATATTAAAAATGAGTTTTTTAATGTTCATAATGTTTTTTTCAAGTGTTGTCAAGTAAAAATAAGTTGAAAAATAAATTTTTAAAGTTTAAAACTCTAATCACTCTTTTTTATAAGCAAAAAAAGTAACACATGGTTTTCCCATGGCAAACATTGATGTCATCCGAACAATAATAATAATAATAATTGATATAACCTATTTTTGAGTCTCTAAATTTAACCTTTAAAAATAAAAATAAAATATAAAATAATAACAATACAGAGACTAAAGTTTTTACAAAAGTTGGTTGAGGAGAATTCCAAATATATAGAAGAATTGAACTTGAATTTTAGATGAAACTGGGAGCTTTATCGTACCCCATTATTTCTTCCTTTTCTCTTGAGAAATGGATAGAGAAAAGGAAAACAATGGCGGTAATATATAAATATGTCTTATAATTACGAATTAATTGGTTACGCTGACGGTCACCAGGAATAATGGAAGAGAGAGGCCCTTTCTTATTTAATTTCCGGTGATCATGAGCTTCAAAAACGTCCTGCAATTGTCCACATCCATCATTTTGACGTTCTTAGACAGGGACAGGACTCGAACCGGCTTTGGCCTCGAACCGGCTTGTGACATCGCCGCTGTAAGCACACCGCTTCTTGTTTTGGGACTCTTCCTTTAGCACTTCGGAAAAGGAAATATATAGTCAGTTTCCTCCTTCTATATATTTCCTTTTTTCACTTCGGAATCGTCAGATTCTAATAAGCGTCTGCGGGCTTGGCTTTCATGTGATCTTCCTGTTTTAGTTCTTGACATTGCTGTTGGGGTCGATCACGAAATAATTGACTTAGTCAAGCTCTTGAGATTGTTTCATAAGGATTTCGTCCTTGTATTGAATAAGGTCTTCTTCTTCTTCAGCAAAAAGGGCTTTGCTTTAATTCTTGATCCTCTAATTGTTATTTTTTGTCTCGAAATTATGCAGGTGGACAAACTCTTAGGATGGAAAAATTGCCCCAACACTCCTATTTCAAGGGCAGTACCACAGCAGAGGACAGAGGTGCAATCTGAGTTATCTTCAAGGATCAAACAAGTTTGTCTATTTTTCACCATCTTTTTACAGAGTGATTTCTCAATTCGTTTTCTCATCCTTGTTATAATCTATGGTTTCCAATCCCAGGTTAAAACTGCGTTAATGAAGGAAGGAGTAGAAGCTGTCAGGATTCTACCTACTAGCACAGTTAGGCATGTCCAAGTCCCTCCCTAGATTCTTTGTTTTGCTTAGCTTTCCTAACTGCTCTATGAAATCCACTCTCGTTGTAGATTTAATGTAGTAATATTCTGATTTTCCGTGCTGTTACAGTGGAGAAGGCGTTGCTGATCTGCTGCTGACATTGTATGATCGCATCCAGAAAACTATGGATGAGAAGCTGTCTTTTCACTAATGTATGATTCTTTTAATCCTATTTGAATCAAACAGATCCCATTAGAAGAATTCATTTTAGTAGCCGTTAATCATGTATAATTAATGAGGGTTTATATTATACCAACCAATCAAACAATTTTGATCTCCAGAAACCTAATTTAATTAATAATTTTATGTGATCTCCAGCTAGTAATTAATTACACATGAACGAATTATTCTCAACACAAGCAACATTGTATATATGATGAACGAATTATCTGATGCTCTGTGATTTTTCAGGTATTACAATGATGCTTGCACTGCAAAGGCTGGAAATGTAGTCTTTCTGTGTTAGGGTCCAGTAAATATCGATAGCATAGATCACTGTGATCTTTCGCTTTAACTTTTTTTTTTTTAGGCTCTGTGAATTATTCTCATCAATTGTTTGTTTTTTATATAGTTAATCATTTTAAATTTATTTTAAACTTGGTTTGTACTGAATTTTAAATTTTTATTTTTATTATTTAATAATTGACTAAAAAATAGTAAAAAATAAATGTTTTTATACCTATTAACAAAGTTCAACCAAGTGGAGTCCATCACTCAGATCATAAATTTAATGGGTTAAGCTATGAAATCCAGATTGATTTAATATATCAATATTAAAAATTGATACTAGGGTAACTTAGTTGAAAATAAATTGAATAAAACTATGAATTTTAATTATCAAACGACTTAGTGTTGAAGGATAAAACTGGAAAAAATATTTATTTTTAAAAAAAGCAATAAAAAAAATTGAGTAACCCAATTTAACTTTCTAACTTCGCAACCATAGTTATAAGATTGGGATAATCTCATAGAAAGAAAAGTAAAAAAAGAGAACATTAATACTAATTACCAATCAATCAAATATTAAAAGATAAAATTAAAAAAAAATTAATTTTATAAAAAGAACCTAAAAAATGACAAGAATCAACTCGTTCTAACCTTCAAAACTTGTGATCCTAGTAATAAGCCAGGGATTGACCCTATAGAAAACAAATCCTAAAAAATAACAAAGCAAAAATCTCAATCAATAAAATATTAAGAAAATAAAAAAAGAAGAATGAGTTGCTAGAGGATGAATTACCTAAAAAATAACAAAGCAAAATCTCAATCAATAAAATATTAAGAAAATAAAAAAAAGAAGAAGAATGAGTTGCTAGAGGATGAATTTAAAAAAAAACAATTAAAAATATATAAAAAATAAATCGAGTCAAATTGCCAAACCCATGATTTAAGTAAGAAATTATGGTAATCCTACAAAATACAAATAAATTTTTTTATGAAAGTCCAATTAAAAAAATATTCAATTAAAAAAAACCTGAAAAAATAAATAGAATTAACCCAGATTAACTTATTAAACTTACAACCTAGATTATAAGAATAAATTTTTTTATGAAAGTCCAATTAAAAAAATATTCAATTAAAAAAAACCTGAAAAAATAAATAGAATTAACCCAGATTAACTTACCAAACTTATAACCTAGATTATAAGATTAAAATAATTTTATAGAAAGCAAATAAAAAAATAAATTACAAAGTCTAATTTCTAATTAATCTAATATTAGAAGATGAATTAATCAAAATTCAATTAGAAAAAGTAGAGAAAAAAATATCTCGAGTCAACTTAGACAAACTTATTAAATTTAGGACTTGAATTATGAGATTGAGATAAGTTTATAAAAAGCAAATAAAAAATTTTTAAGGCTCCACTCTCAACAAATTTAAAGGTTACAAATAAAGGGAAAAAATCAAATTCATGATACCGGTAAATAAATTATAAAATAGTATTTTATAGGTGTGGATACAATAATTTATCTGCAGCCTGTAGTTTTCTTATAATAATAATAATAATTTTTAAAGCTTCGAATTACTTAATTGAAGCTGATTTTATGGTGGGTTGAGTTCCGTATTTGAGTCAATTTGAATGTAATAAAATCATATTCTATTCTCTCTCCTGGAACTGTAGTTAGAAAGCGCAATACCAGTGATCAAGAATGAAGACTCTTTTTTGTTAATCGTTCTCAAATCCCACTTGAAATATAAAAAAGAACAGGTGGCATCATCACAACAACGTAACCAAGTTTACTGGTGATAAAGATAATAATAATAAAAAAAAGCAATACCCAAAACCAAAATTCATTGGTAAAGAAAGCCCAACGAGAAAAGCCCAAAAAAAGCGGATACTGGAGGGTGGAAGTGGGTGTGCAGCGTGACGAACGAATCTTCACCACCACCACCACCATCTTCCACCAATCATATCCTCTTCTGCTCCCCCCCCCAACCCAAAGAAAAAAAAAAAAAAAAAAAACACAACCCCGAAACACCAACACCAACACCAATATATAACCCTTTCCCCTCTCTCCTGTTTGTTTTCCAGGAAAATCGAACAGAAAAAACACACCCACAAAATATTTCTGGGAAATCAATTGCTGATTGAGTGGAAAGGGGAGAAATGGCGTCAACGGGAAACGCGGGTTGGGTGAGTGATTCGTATTTTATGGATGATATTACAGTTCATGATCCCAATTTCTCTGGTTTCTCCTGGCCATCTCCTTCGCCCCCGGTTCAACAACAACAGCACCACCAGACCTTAAACGCTTTTGCTCCTGTTGTTACTTCTTCGTCTCCTAAATTCGGGTAGGATTTTCGTTGAATTTTCGTTAAATTTCCCAATTTCCCTAGAATTTTCGTTGCTTTTAGATCATATTAATATAAAAAAGCAGGGATTTATTTCTGTTTTGGCTGATTTAGGGGTTTTATTGATTAGGGTTTGTTAAGAATAGTGAGATTCTATGATTTTTGGTTGTTTTGTGCTTGTTAATGCAAGTAGTTAAGTGAGTTTCAAATGAGTTATGTAATTGTTCAAGGCATGATTGACTTTTGGATTATTCCTTTGAGAATTTGGTGGTTGATGCATGATTTGATTTAACTAGTAGGTTGATTACAAGATGAATTGCGGTGAGTCTTGGGGGAAATTTGAAGGGTGGTTACTATGGGGCGTATTTACCTTGAATAATCTTGTAGTTAGAGGCCAATTTGCTTTTTTTTTTTTTTTTTATGTGACATGAGCTTCAGTTTTAAGTAGTGGAAGTTTGATTTGCATCATTTACACACAGACGAATAGTATAGCTATATTGTATAATGAGGCAGTACTCAACTGTATAAGCAAGTGGACAAGAGGGTAGTACTTATTGAGACCTTGTGTAAGTTGCAAGTATGGCACATGGATTTTCTTTATGAATTAGGAACTTGCAAACAGCGAGGGCTTACTTTCTTTCTTTTATAATAGTTTGAAATGGGCAGCTTTTGACTTTTGCTTCGTAATTAGTGTTTCATATTTCCATTAATGAGAGTGAGAGATAACAACCCTTTTCACTTGAAGGGCCTTTTTTTATTTTCCGTTCTAAGTTCCTTGTTAGTCTTTTTTCCCCCGCTCGCCTCCTTTTTCTATCTTTTGTGACATTTACTATTCTTGTTTTGGATATATAAATTACATACTTGTAACAGGTACTTAAATTGGATTTGAATGTCATCTTTCTTGTTGTTTTGTGGTTATTCACTTGATCTTCTAACTCCATTTGTGCATGTGTGATTACATGTGTAGTGTGGAAATTGATGGATCGTTTGGGGATTGTGATGTGCAGAAGGAACCAAACTCCAAGAAGAGGTACAACTTCTTTTGTCTTTCTCTGCTCTAATCCCTTTAAAAAGCAAGGGGTTGGGTGTTGAATTCCGTGTAATGATTATGTGGTTATTGATATTATTGAGCTGATTCAACTTTATTCCCCGTATATGTGTTTTCCTTGGAAAGTTTGGGAGTTGGAATTGAGAATTGCACCCACCTTTTGATGCCTTTATGCTGAGACAGAACAGCATAGACCTGGTTTCAGAGCGTAGATAATTATGATTGAGGAAAAATAAACCAGATTGTCCTTTACTGTTAAGTCTCTTGCAATCATGCTTGCTGTTAATGGTTGTCTTTGAAGTGAAAGTCTGAAAGATATTAGGCCAATATATTTGAATAAGATAACCATTCCAATTGTGTTCGTTGAATTTTTCTTTTTACTACTGTATGATAACTATTGCTACCAGTCCCACCATACATGTCACAGGTGTTTCTAAACAAGCATCATGAAGATGATATTAATCTGTTTTGCATGTACAAAAGTGTTAGTTATCATGTCTTCTATTCTATATGCAGTTTATGGAATAATTTTTAACATGGTACTATGTTAATCTGTTTTGCATGTACAAAAGTGTGATACATGCATGAATTATTTGTTTGTCTGTTTTACATTTTAAGTAAGTGGATTGGATTGTGCATGTTGTGGAGTGATTTCATCCCACCTCTCTCTCACACATGTTTCCTTGCTGCAGGAGTAGATCTGAATCGTGTAGCGCGTCTAGCTCCAAAGCATGTAGGGAAAAGTTGCGGAGGGATAGGCTAAATGACAAGTACTCTCATATTCTTTTGCATCCCTTTTTGTCTCTATCTCTCTGTGTCCCTCTCCTAGGCACTCACTCTCTGTATTTGGAATGTCTACAAGGTTTATGGAATTGGGCTCTATCTTGGATCCTGGGAGAACTCCCAAAACAGACAAGGCTGCTATTTTGGTTGATGCTGTCCGCGTTGTGACTCAGTTACGAGGTGAAGCCCAGACGTTGAAGGACTCAAATTCAAGTCTTCAAGAGAAGATTAAAGAGTTGAAGGTCTTCAGATTCTATTTTTTATTGTGATGGACTTCTGGGCTCTAGCTATTTATTTATGTGTTTGATTTCTTCCCTTTGCATAAAATCCTGCCACCTAATACAACCGCTGCAATTCTTTTGAACTTTCCTTTGTCTTCCATAGGCTGAGAAGAATGAGCTTCGCGATGAGAAGCAGAGGCTGAAGGCAGAGAAGGAGAAGTTGGAGCAGCAGCTGAAAACCATGAACTCACAACCCAGCTTCATGCCTGCCCCTCCTGCAATCCCTGCAGCATTCACTACTCAAGCCCAAGCACCTGGCAACAAATTAATGCCCTTCATTAGTTATCCAGGGGTTGCCATGTGGCAGTTCATGCCACCTGCTGCAGTGGATACATCGCAAGATCATGTGCTCCGCCCACCAGTTGCTTGAGTTGGTGACCTGCTATGAATTGGGTTTGCATTTTGCACCGCACCCAAACAAAATGCATTTATTTTGCCATTGCTTTGTCTGCATTAGTTTTTGTTGAGGTTTTCTCACTGGATTTGGTGGCTGACTGATTGTATTTCAATCTGGACCTTATATGAATCGTTGCTGGTGTTCACTTGTAAATTTAATAAGCTTAGTCTGGCAAGCTATGTTTCGGTTTGACTGCTTGTAGGGGTTTCTTTAGCTTTAGAAGTTGACTGGTTTCTTCCAGTTCATATGTTACGGTAACGTCTATGGCATCCCCATAATCTCTGCTGGCCGTGGGACTCTTCAAACCAGGGGATCACTGCACAGTATTTGAATAAATAAATTTTCACTCTGGTTGAGTGCTCATCTCGTGTCAATGGCTGAGGAATTAGGCATGCATGTGCCATGTTCTTTGTAGTCAGGGATGGCAGTAAGTTGAGCCTGGGTTAACCTGAAGATCTATATCCAATTATCAACCATACAACCCTGACTGGAATATCCTCATCCAGCCCAAATCTGTCCCCTACAATGCTTTCATGCTGTGTTGATTGAGTGAAATTGCCATTTCAAATTGTAGCGATGTACCAGGCCTTTGAACAGATTAGAATATCATGTCAAGAACTTGTGGTGTCTGGCCTCGTCCAATCAACACAGCGAGTGGAATTATGTTTTCTCATAAACATGAAAGCAGCAACGGAAATTGGAAATTGGAAACTGGTTAATGCCTTGAGAGCATGGCTATGATGCTCTCAATCATGGCTCCTCAGCTATAATAGTTAGCAAGTATGGGTGTTTTCCCATAACATTCATGCTCTTTAGAACAGTGCTCGCTACATATAGCGAGCACTGTAGCACTCCTTAGTTGTTGGTGGCAAGTGGCGTGAGAGAAGACAGGACAACGTCGTTCGCGGGAAAATGAAGGCATAGTTCCAGCGTACCTCGTAGACCAAATGGGGGTGGAGAATGTAAGAGGAAGCACCAGGTACTCTAGTTTCTTATCTCCGTTTATCTTATTTTTATATTTAAAAAAAAAAATTAAAAAATTTTAAATTTTAAATTTTATTTTATTTTATTATGTTTTTAACTTATTTTAATGCATTAATATCAAATATAATTTTTAAATAATAAAAAATATTATTTTGATATATTTTTAAATCAAAAATATTTAAAAAAAATACAACTATATTTCTAAATAGACATGAATCCATCTCTTCTCTCTATAATAAGTAAAACTTATTTCACCATGAAAAAAAAAATCCTTGTGAAGAATCCACTTAGATTTTATGCACGCCCGCTTTCTGTTTGTTGATAAAACGCAGAGAAATTGGAAGAAATTAAGGTAAAGTTTTAAGCTTTTTACTAGTTGAATTATGGTTGTCTCTAATTTCTGTTGATTGAATAATTGAACTTGTTTTTTTCTGTTTAAGATGGAAAATTTTTTGGGTTTTGTTGATATTTCAATTTTGTGTTGTTTAATTTGAATTTTTTGGGTAGATTTTCTTATTAGTTTCCATTTATCATTTTGCATTTGGTGCCCTTTTGAAGTGGTAGACAGGAGAAGATTGTGTTTTTATATTGTAGTGTTATTTTATTTTATTTTTATTAGAATTGAGTAAACTGGACCAGTTTTTTTTTTTAATTGATGGGAGTATTAAAAATTTTAATATCTTTTTATCATAGCCGAGAAGAGAAGTATTTGATATTATAATAGAGTTATTTTTTTAAATATTTTGTTATATAAATAAATTAATGTAATATTTTTTATTTTTTAAAATTTATTTTTAACAATAATATATTAAAACAATCCAAAAAATTAAAAAAAAATAATTTTTTTTAAAAAGTACAATTAGACCATAAAATTCAACGTTTCCATTTGAAGCTTGGCATGGTGTTTGGCAAGGGAAGCTTGTCTCTTTAATAAAGTTTAGATTTGGATGGCCATAACTGTTGATTTAATGATTTGTTTGTGTTTCCTATCTTGTTGATTTAATGATTTGTTTGTTTTTCCTAGCTTGTGATCATGCAATATGTTATTAAGTCTTAAATTAATTAATTAATTGATTTTAATAATTTCATTTATTTTTTTTAATCAAAGTATTTGATAGTTTATATCCGGATTTAGTAGGCTACGATAACTTATAAATAGTACTTGTAAAAGTTTTTTTTTAATAAAGGTGGAGACTCTTTAATATTTAAATAAATATTTAAAAAAAAAATATAAGACAATATTTAAATAAATATTTTTTAAAAAAAAATACAAGAATATTTTAGAAAGAGATGCTCTGAAAATATATATATGCAATATAAAATGAATTTTATGAATTTTATTTTAAATGTCTCATAATATATTTATAGTTCATGAGTTCTGTTCTTTTGTAAAGAGAAGGATTTATAGTATAATCTTACTATAATAGCATTTAACAAAAAATAAATATAATTTATATCTATATTAATATTTGATTGAAATATAGGGTCCTTGAAAAAATTTTATATACTTAAAAGATGTTATCTTACTCTGTTAACATTTAACGAGAGATAAATATATCATACATTTATATTAATGTTTGATAAAAATATAATAAGCTATTGAAGAACTTTTATATATCTAAAAGGTGTAAGAAAATTAGAGTTTAAAACATCAAAAATAGCTATATTTATGAAAATTGAGTTTTTTTTTTAAGTTTAGACCCAAGAAAAGATGGTTATTTTCTAGGATTATCAAGGGAGGAGGGACGATACCTTGAAGTTGATTAACTGTCAAGTTCAAGTGTATTTGGGTCTAATATATTTGCTAAATCCATGTTATCTAGGACTTGATGGATTATCAAATTCAAGTGTTTTGGATCTAATTTATGTACTAGATATATATTATCATAAATTTGACAAATTATCAAGTGTCATGTGGATGATATGTTTATCAAACTTATATTATCATATTTTCTTAAACTTGTGAATTAAATATGGTTATTCTCATGAGCGTTCTGACAAAGGATGTGGACTCTTATAAGTGTGTTAGGGACTTCACATACTGTACGGTTAATCATGTCTGAATTTGGCTAGTATCAAACGCAGCGTATCCAGAATTTAACAAGCTGTCAAGCCTTTACTCTGGACATGCTTTTTCTCTTGAACATGAAAAAAAAGAAGCGTCATAAGGGTTTATATCCGTTAAAAATAGGTTTACCACTCTGCAATCAACATCACTTTGTAATCAAAATCTTGTCTGTTTCTTCTGTTTCTGTAATTGGTCTACAATCTTTTTTTTTTTTAGATTAATGTGGGTGTCCGGGCCAGCTTGCGCGCACCACGACTAATCCCACGGGCCCTGAAGTTAACGACCATGTAAGCCTCCAGTGGCCATCATATGAGCAACCAAGGACTCGAACCTGAGACCACAGAGGGAGCAAATCTCTTGATCCCAAGTTCTTACCACTTGGCCACCACTTAGATGATTAATTGGTTTACAATCTTGATTGGTGGTTGGTATGATTTAAAGTTGCTTTTTCAATACCTCTTCTATCCGTGGCCCATCATTATGCCAGCGTTATGTGGTTGCCAATTTGCCATGATACCTCTTTTATCTACTTCCCGCTCGTGTGCCGTCTTGGTTTCAAACTCTTGTTATCCTGTTTACAAGAACTTCCATGGCTTCCAATTTCCTCAAATTTCACATCCAATCATTCAAAACTACAAATCGTTCTACACAATTTCTTCAACATGAAACTCTCTTTCCATATATTGCTTTCCCAGAAAACCACCACCACCACCACAAACTTGTCCATTCCCGTGTTTCCTTCCCCTTACCTCTCCTTTACCAATCCAGAAGTCCCGCTCTTTCTATCCACTCGTTATCTTCCTCCAGCTCCCCTCCTGCCTCCAAAGAAGAAGCCATTGTTCAAGCCAAAACCTGTCTCTCAACCACCCTAGAGAAGCCCCTAAACAACCCAAAACTAGCTGGCAAACTCAAGAAACTGAAGCAACCTAGATTCCAGGTAGAAATCCCAGTCATAGATGACTCGCCAACTTCTCTCTCTCAACTTGCCTCTGATGTTTTCAAAGACCTGCCCATCAAGAGAAGAGGGACACCGGTCAAGATTTTAATCCTCTGGCCGAGTCCCACATTGAAGAACAGAGGCATAGAAGCATTTCAATCTTACAATTCATCAAAAAATGTTGAGCACGTCGACGTTTCTTCAGTCAGAAATACAGACAACAGAATTTTGAGTTCTGCCGAAGTGGCAGTGTTTCTGGGGCCAGAGACTTCACAGTTGCCTGATATCAAAACTGTTACTGATATTCTGTACCCAAAGCCAGTAGTCATATTCAACCCCAAATGGGGGTTTGGAGAGGAGAACGAGTTTGGTGATTTGAGTGGCTTTGTGGGATCCTTTGAAGTGGTATATTCATTCATGGGGTTGGAGGTTAGAGGTATTTTGAGCAAGCGAAAAGGAGTGATTTTCAAGTGTGTCAGAGATGGGGTTGTGAGTGGAGAGAAATGGACTGTTCTTGTTGAAGAAGAAGGAGGAGAATTGAAGGTTGTTTCAAGGTTCAAGGCACGACCATCCATTGGTGAAGTAGAGAATGTTTTGTACAATCTGATGGCTATCAATTCGCCAATTACCAAGTCTGCTAGGTTTTTCAAGGATTTGGTGTCAAATGTAACAGGAAGAAAGTAAATAGAATTTGAGAATGTATGCTCTGGATTTTGCGTCAATGAAGTTTGGTAATTCGCTTGAATCTTCTAATGTTATACGTTTGTTTGCTCCATCACACTTACCACCATAAGTTCTATATGAAACGATCATTTCCTCTCCTGCTCCAGCTTCAACTCCACTCGTACAAAATGAAGAATCTTAAACACTGTAAGGGAAGTCCAACTTTTAAAAATCAAACTTTTTATAATGTAATTTTTTTTGCCAATTTTTATAAAAACTTTTCAATGTAAAGTACGCATTTTGGATTAAGTTTTTAATTTTAAAAATTGTATTTTATTCTTTTTTCATAAAAACATTTTTTTTTATGGATAGTTTTATAACAAGTGGTATATAATATTAATCTCCCCTTAGGTTAATTTTTATAGTTGCATTTCTAGTTTGGCTTGTCTAGTCTGTTTACAAGTTTGCGATGTGTAAATTTATGTTTTATTTGCATATATTTATATCCCAAGTATTTTTTATTCTATGTTTTTCTATTATGGGTG